CAGCTAACAGGCTTCCAGCTAACAGAGTAGCAGCTAACAGGCTTCCAGCTAACAGGCTGTGTGTACGTCTCGTGATGTTTCTCACCATCTTTTCTCTTTAGTTTTTATCAGAATCAGAAAATTCTCCCTCTTCAAATGATTCACACGCGTACACACTGAGAGGAAGTCCACCGGCGTCTTCTTCTCCTGTTTCCGGTTCACTGGTAGCTGAGCTGCGGCTCTGCTGCCTCCTGCCGGAGGAGTCGAATAACATCCTGAATTTTAAAATAAAATATCTTCATGTCTTTAATAAAATCTTCTTTTGCACGATGACGTCAGGATGAGGACAATGAGGACATTTTAGTTTTTGTATCTACCAACATTCTCTCTCTCTCTCTCTCTCTCACACACACACACACACACACACACACACACACACACACACACACACAGGTGAGCTCACAGTGACCCAGAGGGCGGGGCTTCACAGCGAGCAGGTTGATGTTTGACTGATTTCTGAGACGCGAGGGTGTCAAAGGTCACAGACAGAAACAAGGAAATGGTCCCGGACAACTTTCAACAGCACCTGTCCACACCTGAACCTGTCCACACCTGAACCTGTCCACACATGAACCTGAAGGACCTGAACCTGAAGGACCTGAACCTGTCCACACCTGAACCTGAAGGACCTGAACACCCCGTACTCATGGTGAGTTTTAAGCTTTTATCACAGATCCAGTAAAAACTGGTTCTTCTGGGTTTAATGAACAAACTGATGCTGCACATGAAGGCTTGTAAACAGGAAGTGAATCATTTACAGGTACACAAGTGTCAGGAGCACATGGAGGTGACAGTCAGCTGGTTCATTCAAACAGTAAACCTTTATTTCATGCTGCAATGTAGATTCTAAGATCCTGCAGCCTGTTCCTGAATGTATCATTTCAAGATGAGAGCCTGCTGCAGTGGGAACATCTGGACAGGTGTGACATCTGGATTCCAGTTGTGTTGATTCTGCAGGTTTTGTTCTGTTCGTCCTGCTGGTTCTCACAGACAGTGGCCATGTTGGGAGGAACAGGAAGGTTTACTGGACGTTGCTGGTTTAAGCTCAAGCAGTGCCGCTCGCTCTCCTCCCCTCACCTCCCAGGACTTCATTACCCAGCAGGCAGTGGGAGCAGGGAGTACAGGACAGGACAGGAGGCGGGACAGATGAGCTTGGCGCAGATCAACTCCATCCTAAAGGTGAGACCGCTCTGTCGTTCAAGCTGTCAATCAATCGAGCAGTCTAACTATTGACCTGTCCTCTGTTGTCAGGCCAATGAACACAGCCACACCCTCCCCAGGGGACCTGCCTCCCACGGTGTGCTGGGTTTCCATAGCAACATGTTGCCATCCAACCACCCCAGTGAGGACCGTCGCAGCAGCGCCACCTGCCTGCCAGGTTGTGGTGGCATGCTATTCGGAGTATTTGATGGCCACGCAGGGCCGGCGTGTGCCCACACCGTCAGCCAGAGGCTCTTCTACTACATTGCTGTGGCCACGCTGCCACTGAGGACACTAGCAGACATCGAACGTGCAGTGGAAGAGGAACGGGCCGTACCACCACTGCTGGAGTGGCACAAACACCCACAGGACCACAGCTTCCCTAATGGAGGAGCAACCTCCTTCCACAGCCTGCGGAACTACTGGCAGGAGCGTCTTGAGGACGAGGAGCAGGACGAGGTAAGTAATCAATGAACCAGAACTCAGAGACTCGACGTCTTCACGGGTCCAGAATCTTAATGTTGACTGATTAAAGTGATCTGGACCCAGTCTGACTAAGGTCCTGGATCAGGTCTCAGTTATTAACACTCATATTAACCATGTGGACCTGTGAAGAGCTCTCAAGTGTTCTGTACTTATGAGGTCTGACACCTGGAGGTGGGAGCCGGTACTGACTGGTCCAACAGTGATTGGCTGATCCCTGCGGCCAGGTGAAAGCAGGTGGACGTTTCACTACCTGTTCTCCTCCAGGACACATCAGACTTCTTGAGTTCAGTCTGAGCTGTAAAGCGTCATTATCTGTCTCCTTTGTCTGCAGGAGGATGGCAGAGTGACATCAGCGCTAGTGAATGCTTTCCGTCGTCTTGACTATGACCTGTCTGTGGAAGCCCAGGTCCACCTGTCCATGTCCTCAACCAGGTTTGATTCTGTTGAAATTTGAGTTTTGTTTATTTAACGTCAGGGTCTCGTCTGTCTCCTCATGTCATGGTGTCTTTCACTGTGAGGACCCGACCCAGTGTCCTCCTGCTTTGTCCACAGACGACTCTCTCTTCCTGGGGAGATGATGTCTCAGTCCTCCCCTCTCCGGGTGGCGCTGTCTGGCTGCACTGCCTGCATCGCCCACATCTCTAATGGCATCCTGCATGTAGCTAACTTGGGCGACAGCAGGGCCGTCCTGGGTGTCCAGGAGCTGGATGGGCAGTGGTCGGCTGTCAGCCTCACCAACGACCACAATGCACAGAACCCCGATGAGCTGCAAAGGATCTTTGGAGAACACCCGCCGTCAGAGAGGAGGACAGTGGTCCGCCACGACCGCCTCCTGGGTCTGCTGCTGCCATTCAGGGCGTTCGGAGACGTGCGCTTTAAATGGAGTAAAGAAATGCTGAATCGAGTCCATGAGACTCGACCGGACGTACTGTCTTTGGTCAGTGAGGGTGTCCGGACTCTGTCGCCATATTACCTGAGTCCACCCTATCTGAGCGCCGAGCCAGAGGTCACCCGGCACGACATCAGACCTTCTGACAAGTTCCTGGTCCTAGCAACTGATGGATTATGGGAGTTGATGCACCGACAGACCGTGGTGCAGTTGGTTGGGGAACAACTGACAGGTCAGTGAGCTTCATGTCAAAACCGAGCTGCATTTAATCATAATCTGAGTCACAACAGTACATTGAAGAACTTGTTTAATTGGCAGCAGTTAAATAAGGAGATCTGATGTAGACGTAGAGTGAGCGTTAGAGAACGACTGTTTGGTAATACGTTAGGAGCCTGGACAGGAAGCAGGTGAGACCTGGGGGCGAGTCCTAACTGGTCTGAGCTGAACCGTGACCTGATCTCTTTCAACATTTTCGTTGTACAGGCCTTCAGCAGCAGAGACCCATAGTTCCGAGCAGAGGCATGACACTAGGCGGACTGCAGCGCCTTCTGCTGGAGAGAAGGGGACAAGTTATGTCTGTGCTGGAGGACCAGAATGCTGCAACACACCTTCTCCGCCACGCTCTGGGGGATGATGGCTACGGAGCAGTGGCACCAAACCGTTTGGCCAAGATGCTGAGTCTGCCATCAGAGCTGGCACGAAGGTACCGTGATGACATCACCATCACCGTCATACACCTGAACGAGTCCGACCTATGACCTCAACACCTGGGGACTGGCAGGAGTTCTACAGGTAACAAATGATGAAGACACAAACTTTACTTGTTTTCTGTGTTTGTGCATGAGTACAGAACAGAGTTCATGTTCTTGTCTGTCATCAGAAGGCGTCTGATTGGTCCAGATTCATCGTGCAACAGGACGACGAACGCAGACACATGGAGGATTTGGTCTCCATAGCAACAGAGCTGACAATTCATCAACAAGTTGAACCCACTGTAAACTGGTTGTAACGAGTTGTTCCAACATGTGACGTGAATGAGTTTGGTGGTTTCTCTGATGAGCCTCCATCTATGATCTGCAGCTCAGTCGAGCTGCTGTTGTTTAGACCACATCCCCTCTCAGCCAATCAGAGTGCAGTATTCTCAGTGAGCATGTTCATGTAAGTTAAGACAATAAGACTCAACAACTCTGAATGACTTCAAAATAAAATTTAATCAATGTTTTTACAAAATCAACTCTCAATTAGAGAAAGAGTTAAATATCAAACTGACCAATCAGCTGAACCGATCTTCATCTCCATCATCAACTGACCTCTCGCAGCTCACGGAGCTCAACCATTAGACAATACTCAGAGGGGGCGGGGCAGAGAACAACAAAAACAGACAGCATCTTCAGGGGTGAAGTTGGAAGTAAAACTGACTCGTCTGTGTTGACTAATAGGAGAGGGGGATATAAAAGTCCAGTGTCCAATTAGAGCGCAGTACCGCTGGTGAGTCACCGTCGCGGTGGCGGGGCCAGCAGCTGTGTGGCAGCGATGGACTCTGGGAAGAGGTTGTGGTAGGTGGGCAAGGGGACGTACGCCGCCGTGATCATCTTACCTGAAACGACAGGTGAGACATCAGAGCTCCTTTCTGATTGGTCAACAGCACAAAGAACAGGTTCCATGTGACAGGAAGTCTTACCAGCAAAGTATCTTCCATGGAGGGCGTTAACAGCGGCCATGGCAGCCGGGATTGATGGACACTTCACATAGACGTTTCCCTGAAAACAAGCAGAGGTCAGATGGACCTGAAAGGGTCAGAGGTCACAAGAGCTGCACTAAGGTTCAGGTCAGAGGTCACAAGAGCTGCACTAAGGTTCAGGTCAGAGGTCACAAGAGCTGCACTAAGG